AACAACATGATACTCGGTTTAACAAAGTCACGAGCATGATCCGATAAACGAGACGACATATACGAGTCGATAAACAATTCGAAATAAATTCTGACTTCAAGCAAGAATTGGTAACACATATGATAAATTCATCTATCATGATATATACGAGCACGACCAGAATAACGAGAGGATTCGAATAAGTTACCCGCTTTCGAATATCTACGAGCTAACGGAAGAAAAATGGGCCGAACGATGGGTCGGCCGAACGGGTCGAAAGTCGGCTCGCGAACGGGACTCGGAGTAACAAAAAGGGACCGAAATTGGCCGCACGTTAGCTTCACGCTGGCAGCAGCTCACCGGCAGAGGTCGCCGGAAGATGGGAAGCCGAGAGCTGCTCGAACGGAGGTAGGGGCTGCGGAGACGGGCTCGCCGGAAATGGCATGCTCGTGGCGTCGTACTCGTCGAAGAAGGTGAGCTCGACGAACGGAGGCAAGGATCGATGGCCTGAGGTTGCTCGCGGCCAAGGGACGCCGGCGAGGAGCTGGTTCTGCCGGTCGCTGCTGGTCGTGGAGGAGAGCTCGCCGGAGGTCGAAAGCTTGCGGACGGAACTCGCCGGAAAAAGAAACCGAGGGGCTACTCGAAAGGTGGTCATTCACGCCGGGAGCTCGCCGGAAAACGCAGCATGGGAGGAGATGAGCGTGGGTGGTGCTGGTTTCCGTCGAGAGTAGGAGGCTCGCGAGGTGGTGTGCTCAAACGGAGATGATAGCAGACGGGGAAGAAGAAAAATACAAGATGAGAGAAGTTCGGGTCGTTGGAGCAGATATCGCGCAAGACTCAGTCGGTAACTTACAGATCAGATAAAATTTGACTGGGTTTGGACGTTTTTTATTTTTTTTAAAAAAAAAAAATAAGAACACATAAATTTTGACTGGTCGATCCGATAAGATTATCTGATAAAACTGGCGATTTTGACAAAAAGGAACAGATAAAATTATATCTGTTTTGGGCTTGGCCAAAAATATTTATCAAATGGGCTAGATAAAAAGATCCCAAAACGGCTACGGAAAAATAATCGAATTCGGCCGGTTCTCTCGGGCTCAACTCGAAAATTATTCGAGGCTCGGTTCGACGTGGCGAAAATTAAATTGAAACTGGATAATACATAACACACATAATATTTATTTAATAATAATAATAATAATAATAATAATAATAATAATAATAATAATAATAATAATAATAATAAATAGGCAAATAATTACACACATTATTTATTATCTGTAATAATTAACAATTAAGGCAATTACGAGCACAAATAAAATAAATAAATTTATTCAGACAATTAGATAAATAATAAAAATTTTAAAATAATCCGGAACAAATGGGGCGCTACAGAATCGAATATTGTGGCAACTTTAAAAAACATGTTAGCATGATTTAAATGAAATCTTTACAATATTTTTACTTTTAGTTAAGTTTCATATATTGAATAATTATATGTGAAAAAAAAAATTTAAGTTCAAATATGCGATTTATTTATAAGTATATAATAAAGTGTACGTTCCAAATAGTTAAATTTTATTTAGCATTTATATTATTAATATTGATACATGGTTATTGTAAAGTCCTACTCTCATTTTTATGGTAATTTTTTATTATATTAAAACGAATTGATAAGTATAAAAAGATATATAGATTGAACTAAAAAGATTGAATCGTGGTTAAATTATTTGATTCCATTAATTATACTACTTTTGAAAAGAAATTCCATAATATTTGATCCCATAATAATACAGCTTTTAAATAGAAGTGATTCCGAAGAGCCGGATTTAGTGTTTAATCAAATATTATGGAGTATCGTTTTATAACAATAAATCTGGTTGTTAAGGGAAATTAAAACTGATTACAATTAATGCTTTGAGATTTGTTTTAAGGAATTGTGTAAAATTACTATAATTAGGATGTAATTAATGCATAATGGCGGGAAATGCTTACTATATTTGATTTAAGTCTATTCTTATTATAACTTGTTAATTAATTAAGTTCTTATTATTTATTATTAATAATATATGTTACATATTTATTATAATATATATTATTGAGTCTTAGGCTAGGTTTGGTAGACAAATAAGCTAGCTTATAAATTATTTAGTTAGCTTATAAGCTCCCTGTATTCAAAGAAGCCGCGTTTGGTAGGACGAGCTTTTTTAAAAAGCTCGAGCTTATTTGATAAGCTTCTTTAGGTAGGTTTTCAAATAAGCTAGTTGGATATTTTTTCCAGCTAGCTTATCAACTAATTTGACCAAACACTTTTATCATATAAGCTAGCTTTTCAGCTATAATTCATAAGCTATAAGCTATAAGCTAAAAAATTACTAATAAGCTATAAGCTAGCATATCAGCTATCAGCTAGTTTTACCAAACATAGCCTTAATCATTTAGGAGAATGATTACATAATATATATCTTATATATTTACTTAACATATATGCCACATGCATTAATGAACTTGATTCTATGTCATAATTAGTTTTCTCTCTCTTGTAGGACAAGGAATAGGTGACAAGGACTATAAAAGGATGAGCTATTCATACATAAAGAATTATGGACGTTTATGAGAAGATCTAAGGAGGATTTGAAAAGATTCACCACAAGATCTTTGAAGATTTGGAAGATCGACGATTTTAGGAAAGTCGTGTTATTACATCAGTCTGGGAACAAAAGATTTCCATTGGAAACTCAATTCTGAAGATCTCCAAATCACATACACGAATTCTACATCAAGGAACCTTATTATTAATGAAGATTTCGTCCAAATCAGAAAGGAATCAATTGAGAAGGAAATTGACTCCTAAAAGGAAAATGAGAAACTTATGAAGACTCCTTACCTTAAGGAGATTGTATATAAGCCAACTCAAACAATCAATTGACAAGAGCTACTACAATAATCGACTTTATCATTCATCAGATTCAATTGAGTATTTGAGAGATTTTTATTCTTTTTATTTTGTTCGTCACAGCAGTTCAACGTTCTTACATTGTTGACGAACTGAGTTTGTTTAGTTTCTTTTTCTTTTTACAAACCTGTTTTTAGTGCTTAGGGATTAAGTATTGGGGTTGCTCGAGGGACTCGAGTGTGTAAAGTCCACGAGATGTGGCCAAGGAAGTAGTTGATAGGATCGGGTATAGTGTTGGCTAAGGCTATGAGGGAGTCCGAGTCGAATAAGTCCAAGCTGTACTTTATGGGACGCAAACCGATTTATCAATGAAAGAGCTTTGAGGGGTAGTAGGACACTCCCCGAAGACATATAATTTTTTATATCGCTTCGGATTTTAAATTTATTTTTCTGTGTTGCAACACAATTTCGTAATAAGAATTTCTGTGTTCTAACACAGTCTGCGTACTCCATACTTCATCCACCCTCGTTTCAGTATCTACTTGATTATTGAAGACTCCGTTTAGATAAAGTTTAAAGCTTTAATTCAAATCCCAATATTTAGGTAATTGCTCTTAATTTCTTTGGTAAAATTAATTTGATATCAATCCTCCAATCTCGTTAGAATGTTTAGGATATTATTATTATTATTATTATTATTATTATTATTATTATTATTATTATTATTGTGTGTGCTTGGAGACTAGTTAATAAACGAAGCATCGAATAGTCATCCTTCAAAAGACGACCCGAGGTTCTAAATTACTCGATTAACAATTAAAACCAAAATTATACTTAACCATTATAAAGTTGATTTAGGGTTGAGGATTTATCCCTAAAATAATCTGTATTTGCTATTTTGTTATTTTTATTTTCTTAGTTACTTTATAAAAGAAAAAAATAAAGATTATTAATACGTATCATCTTGGTTTTTCATTATTTACACTACAAAAAAAAATTTATATTCCAACGGAAAATCCTATGGTAATATATTCCAATGGAAATTCCAACAGATATTCCAATGGTATAGCTTCCGTTGGAATGATTCCAACGAAAATTCCAACAAAAATATTCCGTTGAAATGTATTTTTCATTGGAATTTTAGATGGAATTTGTTGATTCCAACGGCTATATTTCCAACGGCTTTTGACCGTAGGAATTTCCGTTGGAACTTTTATTTCCACCACTGTTGCAAAATTTACCGTTGGAATCGTCAAAATCCAACTGAAATTCTAATGGAAACCTCACTCCAATGGAATGTTTTTGTTGGAATAATTCCAACGGAAATAATAACATTGAAATATCTATTGGAATTGCCGTTGGAATTATATTGGAGTATATTTCTGTTGGAATTTTATCATTTTCTTGTAGTGTTAATCACCGTATAATGATTCATGACAGTTGAGAATAACATATCTGAAGTTTGAACCATGACGTTTGACAAACGATTGGTAGCACCTCTGCTAAATGTAATTAATATTCTCAAACTAGATGTATATCAAATCAAATAGAATGTTGCAATTAGTTTGTCAATGCAATAGTCCCACCGACGTATCGAACTTGCCCTAATTAGGTAATTTAATTTTCATTTACTAGCTGTATATCAAATCAAATAGAATGTTGCAATTAGTTTGTCAATGCAATCAATTGAATAGTCCCACCGACGTATCAAACTTGCCCTAATTGGGTAATTTAATTTTCATTTACTATTGACATTTCTAGATTTTATAACTAAATCCTTCACTCGCGAAACTTAGCCTGAGGATTTCTTATACCCATGAAATGACGATCACATTGACATATCACCGTTGGTGGACAAAATTTCAAGTTCACAAAGAATCAAGAAACTAAAGAAGTACAAAGTAGTAATATAATACATTATTATTCGTAACTCTTATCCTAGACTTGTTTAGTTCCATGAAAAAGAATTTCGTGGCTGGCACTACTAACCATATAGTTGACATTGACAAACATGTATAACCTTTGGCCACACTGTTTCATTTCCATTAAACAAATCAATAATGAATTGCATCTCACCACTATATAAATAATCCTACTTCCGTTCCCTAAACCACACAAAACACAACCCTTGAATCCCTTTAGTAAAAAGTTAAACTCGGGAGCATCCACAAAATGGGGACGCTAGCGATGAAGCGCGGCCTGCGCCACTTTGCTTTATTGCTCGCGTTTTGTTTGATAGCCACCAATGTAGTTGCCGATGAACCGCGACCGAATTCGTATGTCTACAGATCACCGCCACCACCATCGCCGTCCCCACCTCCTCCGTACATATATAAGTCACCTCCACCACCATCGCCTTCTCCACCCCCACCTTACATCAATAAATCGCCACCTCCGCCTTCGCCATCTCCGCCACCTCCATATATGTACAAATCTCCTCCTCCACCGTCACCTTCACCACCACCTCCGTACGTCTATAAGTCTCCACCACCTCCACTGAAATCTCCTCCTCCTCCACCGTCACCTTCACCACCACCTCCGTACGTTTATAAGTCTCCACCACCTCTACTGAAATCTTCTCCTCCTCCGCCGTCACCTTCACCACCACCACCGTACNTCCCCCCACCCCCATATGTTTACAAGTCGCCTCCGCCACCATCTCCATCACCACCACCTCCTTTTATCCACAAGTCCCCGCCGCCTCCAGCAAAATCTCCTCCTCCTCCTTTTATATATAAATCACCACCACCACCTTCACCATCCCCACCACCACCATATATCTTCAAGTCTCCACCACCTCCACTAAAATCTCCTTCGCCTCCATCTGTTTATAAATCACCACCCCCACCGTCACCATCCCCACCACCTCCGTATATTTACATGTCTCCACCACCTCCATCAAAATCTCCTCCTCCACCTCCTTATATTTATAAGTCACCACCTCCTCCTTCACCATCACCACCACCTCCGCATGTTTATAAGTCTCCTCCACCACCATCACCATCTCCACCTCCCCCGTATATTTAAAAGACCGCACCACCTCCGGCACATGCACATTACTAAAGTTCACTCCATCTCCATTGCTTCGTTTCATGGTTAATTAGTAACCCACAATTGCGTCTTTCATTAAGTTTATATTTTGTGCGATATGAATATTCAAATGTTTCTTTGATTATCCTGTTTTTTATTTTGCACACTTTTGTGTTTCAATAAATAGGGATCCAAATATTATCCCTATCTATGTTTGAGAATTTTATTGTACTATTCTCGTTTAAGTTTTCTTTTCATGTGTACTAATATTGTACTGTTCTCATGATTCAAGTGTCCAAGATGAGAATTCCGGTTAAGGCAATATGTTTGTTCCAACTATACGCTTGAAAACTACTACGCCATTTTTGTTTTCTGTCCATGTTGAACAAGTACGATGAATATATTTTTCTAGTAATAAAGAAAAAATCCCAACATTATGTAACTTTAATTTTATTTTTATTTTTTAAAAAAAAACACTTGAGTAATGCGGAATCCATTATGCTTAGATTATATTTTATCAATATCAAAATTTACATGGTATGAGGATAATTATTTGGCAAAATTAAATAGTAACTTATTAAATAACGCAATTTGTAGCCAATTTATCAGGTCGGATTTTAGTGTCTAAACATGTTTAGCGCTTGACTGTCCCATTTATTATTGGATTTTGGCAAAATATGATAATTCTTTTGGGCAAAAAAGGATAATCATTTAAAAAAAGAAAAATCTATGAATAAGTGGGGCCGAAATTGCCAATATTATCATAATTTATTATAAATTCAAAAATTTTGTTGATTAAGCTTATTGTAGCCAGCATGTCTAACTATTTCTCATTTTCAATTTTTTGGAGCTAATTTGTTACCTTAATAAATTATCTTATTAGCTAAAATTAAATAGAAGTTTAAAAATAAAATTATTCCTGTTCCATTCTTTTGTTTCTTCACCAGAATACAACTCTGCTGATGACAACCAAATGAGGAGCCCTAGGAATTTGTTTACTTTGTGGTACATATATAAATATATATATATATATATATATATATACACACAAATTGGTCACTCAATTATTACTATAAATTTTGTTTGGATGAAATATAATATGAACTTCAAGTTTTCAATTTTTATTGCGTGGTTTCAAATAATGAAAACATTACTATTTCACAAATTTCACGGCATTAATAAACTTATGGTCATATCTCCCCCTAATGTCGTGAAACCATCTTCATATATTGTGCAAAAAACATACCAAATAATAAATTGATCCCTTATAATGGCCTCTAGGTATTAAAAATTCAGCGGAGTATAAAAATCATAGCATACCTAGTTTGTAATATAGGCCCATAAAAGTACGAATTGGTGGTGATATAAAATTGTGCATAATAATAACAATAAATTGCAGATGGAAAATGTTCGATTCTCCATGCATTTTAGTGGGAAACTATCATAAGCAATTGTCCAATATGATCCAACTGTTCTTGCTAATTATCAAATATAAGTTGACATCGAATGGTAATAATTCATTTCTAAGTTAACACTATATGCTTCAGGCACTACAATTGAACTTTGGTTGTGAGCTTTTTGTTGTAGCTATTAGTATTTATATATATATATATATATATAAGACATGTGCTTCAGGCACTACATATAAATTTATTATTGTAGCTATCATCTAAAAGTCAAGGATATGCATCTTATCAAGTATACAAGCAAACATAAATAATTTCAGAAAACTTGTATACTGATTCAATCATTGTAACATTCTGGTTACGTCACTTCATTAGAGTATATTGAATATGCAGAGCTGATCTAAAATCATAAGATCATGAATTTATCCAAAATTCAACGAGATTATTTACTAGATCAATCTTTCAAAGATACTCGCTAGATAATTCATATGCAATTATGATACTGGTCAACAGGACCAATCCTTTAGGGATAACTGTACCAAATCTAGGTCGGTATTCAAATTAACTAATGATACTTTTTAATTATATAATCCTCCAGGGAAACTAATATCGATAGGCATAAAATTCAACAAGATATTTGCTCTGCAATTCGTAATAAGATTAAAAAAAATAACTATACAAATTGCATACTATTCATGAGTTCATTAGTCAATTAGACTAAAGTTCAAAATATTCAAATTGATTTAGGCTCAATAACTTTAGACCACGTCCATACTCAATGCATAAAACACCGAAATAAAATATGCAACTATAATTTCCAAACCAAATTCATGTCGTAATTGCATATTTTGATAGCTTCACCATATATATTTCAAACAACAAACACAATTCACATGTTCAAAATTAATCCACATATGCTTCATGCGTAATAAGATGCCTGGACGAATTATTAATATATGTGAGCATTTTTATTTTATAACTCTTCCGGAGTATGACAATTGAAATATGAGAGATTTCCTCACATAAGATATATAATATTTTTTATTATTCATCATCAAAAATAATCCTTATCTAGAGGAAAATGTCTGCTAGACATATCTTACTTGTGTTACCACTTTTCAAATCTTAACAAGTAATGTGAAGAATAATAGGATACATATCAAACAAGAGATGCTCATATACAAATAAGGACAATTAAATCAAGGAAATATATAGTTTTATAGAAAATAGACATTTTTCTTATCATATATCTCATGTAAAAAAATATATACTTTTGTACATGTGCTTCTGGCACTAATACAATCTCAATGAACTACTTTTATATCACTATTCTCAATAAAATCTATAACTTAATTTTTTTGGCAAAATTTTACGAAAAATTTCCGGAGTATGCTTTCTCACATTTAATTTAAAATTCCAATCACACAACAAGAACGAGCTAAAGCAAAACAAGATAGTCACGACCAGTGTTCTAAAATTCGCTAGGCGCCCGCTAGGCGCTCGACCAGCACCTAGGCGGGGCCTAGAAATCAATATTAAATACCTTATTTTTTATTATTTTAACTAGCTACAAAATAAACAATCTCAACTAATAATAATTACACACACCTAAGTCCAAATAATAATATAAATATATTTTAAAGACAATATGAGAACAAAATAATATAATTAGTATTTACAAAAATAGAAAAAAACTGAAAAATTTCCGCCGAGGCCGATAAGTCTGCCTAGGAGCGCCTAGGGCCGCCTAGCCGCCTGACTGATGTTTTCAGCCGATTTGTGTAAATCGGACACGGTCGGGCACCGCCTAGCGCCTAGACGCCGCCTAGGCCGATTTTTAGAACAGTGGTCACGACTTGTGACATACACACTTAGCCATGCACAAATTGTTGTCCTTTCATAGACATCCAACATGATGACCAAGAAAATCGACGATTACACGAAGGTCCGTAATTTTTTAATTTAGATTTTATAATCGACAATAAATCTAACTTCTACTGTATATATCTATTTCATAATATACTGGTACTTATTTAGTAAGTTCGAATTCCAATTTAACCTTACAATATGATGTTGAATCGCAAGGGCTAAAAACAAAATCCGGAGTTAGATCGGCCATCTGGTTCACTTACAAACTGGGTAGAAAGAAATGAATCGGAGTCTACTAAGGTTCGTAAATATTTGAAGTGAAGTTGATTTATTAAAAACAACTGTACATTCTTGTAACATGCAATTCACAAATCCTTAATATACAGAACGCAAACATTGAAGATTCATGCAAGAAAATATATTAGCCCTGCCCTGGCCGAGCAGACCAAACTATGAAATTGCAGCTATATATACAAAAAAAAGGGTAAACTTCTTTTCCGCTGCATAATATTGCCAGTAGATTTTCGTCTACATTAATAAAATAAATATAAAACATACATAAAGCTATTAGTAATTTTAGGTTTGTATATTGTTGATGTCAAAAATCGGACGGTCAACGGTTGATTATAAGTCTAATCTCTTGTACAAAATTGGAGAACAAAACTATTAAAAAGGATGCTTTTATTTCTTATTTTTTGGAGAGAATACTCTCTTTTGTTGTTGGGAAGAAGATGAAAAAATGGAGAGAGCCTCATCCCACCTCCCCTACTCTCTCTCTTTCTCTTGTATTGTGGGGAAGAAAATATGAGGAGAAAAAAATCCCCTCTCTTTCCTCTTTTTGACATATATATACATGACCCTATTTTGCAAGTGGGCTAATAAAATATATAGCAAATGGTACATTATTTAATGTGAGATGGTTATCGTAGGACCCGCTTATGACTCTTGACGGTTCTAATTGACGTCCGTCTTCTCGGCAATTGTCGCGTTTATCAAAAGCGGTTTCTTCGTGGTATGTGAGCCATCCGATTATTTTCAACTCTGTCCGGCTCGGCAGTGGACGGACTCGACATCTAGGGATCCGTCCGGCTTTCGCGTGATCCGTTTTTATAACTTGTTTGTATATTTATTTTTCATGTATTTTTGGCTCCTCGGTTATCGGGCCGTATTTTATAATTCAATTTATCATTTATTTAATCGGAGCCAAATTAGGTATTAACAGGAGGCCCCCGAGTTTAGGACATGTTCTGATTGAACTATTCTGAAGTCGCGTTTATTCTTGATAATTTGGCGATGTTTTCACCTCATGATCTTTTGAGCTTTGAGCTCTTTAAATTGCGTTAGGAATTACGCGTAATGAGAGATATTGGTGAAATCGCAAATATGCCGACGAGTGCGCGTGTCGGATAATTTTCGTGTGATTCAAGAGATCACATTTATCTTGCCAGTTTTGGGCGAAAAATAGTGATTTTATCGCGAGTTAGTATGCAGATTTTTGGGCGCTTTGGGACCCTTGAGCGTTTTGTTGATCATTTTAGGCTTAGGCCCGCAGATTTATGATAATCACGCTTTGATCTTTGACGAGTTGATTCAATTTGAGATAATGGGCAATTTTTCTGAATTGTTATTGGATGAGGCCTGAACGGCCTGGTCGGGTAATTTAGTACCCGTTTTTATGTATTTCGAATTGTCGACATGAGTGAGCGTAGAGCTCTTTGTCTAAGTGAGCGTTGAGCTCTTTGTTCGATTGAGCTTTGAGCTCTGTGTTTCTTACGAGGTGGTATGTATG